GGGTCATTTAACTTGTTTCCAGGTTCTGGCTATGACAAACAATGCTGTTGTGAACATAGCTGAGCACATGTCCTTGTGGTACTTTTGAGAATCCTTTGGGTACATACCAAAAAGTGGTATTGCTGGGTATGGAGGAAGGTTGTTTCCTAATTTTCTAAAAAATTGCCATACTGACATTGAAAGTGGCTGTTCCAAAAATGCAGGAGTGTTCCCTTTGCCCCACAACCCCTTCAGCATAAGTTGTCATCAGTGTTTTCATCGTGGCCATTATTACACGTGTTAGATGAAATCTCAGTGTTGTATTGGTTTGCATTCCTCTGATGTTTAAGGATGTTGAACACTTTCTTAAGTGTCTTTCAGCCATTTTAGATTCTTCTGTTGAGAGTTCTCTGTTTAGGTCTGTACTTCATTTTTTAAAATTGGATTATTATTATTATTACTTTTGATGGCCGAATCTTTAGTTCTTTGTATATTTTTGAGATAAGACCTCTGTGTGATGTGTGGTTGGTGAAGATTTTTTCCCATTCTGTAGACTGCCATTTGGTCTTGTTGACCATGTCCTTTGATTTATAGAAGCTTTTCAGTTTCAGAAGGTCGCATATTAAATGTTTCTCTCAAGTTTCTGTGCTACTTGGGTTATATTTGGAAGTGGTCTCCTGTGTCAATGCATTCAAGTTTACTTCCCAATTTCTTTTCTATAAGGTTCAGTGTATTTGGTTTTATGTTGAGGTCTTTGATCCATTTGGACTTGAGTTTTGTGCATGTTAGTAGATATGGATCTATTTTTATTCCTTTACAAGTCAATATTCAGTTTGCCAGCACCATTTGTTAAATAAAATTTCTTTTTTTCTATTTTATATTTTATGCCTTTTTTGTCAAAAATCAGGTATTATTTGATGTGTGGCTTATTATCTCCATCTTCGAATCACTTCCATTGGTCCTTCTGTCTTTTTTTTATGTCTGTATGAGTTTTATTTTTTTCAGTACTGTTGTTGTATAGTAGAGTTTAAAGTCAGGGATTGTGATGCCTTCAGAAGTTCCTTTATTGTACATTATTGTCTTGGCTTCCATGGGTATTTTTTTTTTTGCTTTTTTATAAGAAGTTGAGTAGTGTTCTTTAAAGGTCTTTGAAGAATTTTTCTGGCTCTATTTTATAGGCTCAATGTCTTTTATTTATGGCTAGAAACCAATTATGAGTGAGTACATCCCATGTTAATCTTTTTGGTTCTGGGTAACCTCACTCAGGATAGTGTTTTCTATTTCTATTCATTTGCATGCAAAATTCAAGATGTCATTGTATTTTACCACTGAGTAGTAATCTAGTATGTATATATTCCACATTTTCTTCAACCATTCTTCCATTGAAGGGCATCTAGGATGTTTCCAGATTCTGGCTATTACAGATAATGCTGCTATGAACATAGTTGAACAAATGCTTTTGTAATATGATAGGGCATCTCTTGGGTATATACCCAAGAGTGGTATTGCTCGGTCCTGAGGTAGTTTGATCTTGAATTTCCTGAGAAATCGCCCCACTGATTCCCAATGTTTTGCATTCCCACCAACAATGGATGCGTTTACCCCTTACTCTACAACCTGTCCAGCAAAGTATATCATTGTTGTTTTTGATTTTAACCATTCTGACAGGTGTAAGATGGTATCTCAAAGTTGTTTTGATTTGCATTTCCCTGATCACTAAGGAGGTTGAGCATGACCTTAATTGTCTTTTGGCCATTTGAACTTCTTCCATTGAGAATTCTCTGTTCACTTCAATGACCCATTTTTTAATTGGGTTAATTAGCATTTTAAAGTCTAGTTTCTGGAGTTCTTTATATATTTTGGAGATCAGACCGTTGTCTGATTCAGGATTGGTGAAGATGTTCTCCCAGTCAGTAGGTTGCCGTTTTGTCTTGGTGACAGTGTCCTTTGCTTTACAGAAGCTTCTCCATTACAGGAGGTCCCTTTTATTCAAAGTTGCCCTTAATTTCTGTGATATTGGGGTTAAGCGTAGGAAGTGATCTCCTGTGCCCATATGTTGAAGAGTACTTCCCACTTTCTCTTCTATCAGGTTCAGTGTGTTCAGATTGATATTGAGGTCTTTGATCCATTTGGACTTGAGTTTTGTGCATGGTGATGGAGAGTGATCTATTTTCATTCCTCTACAGGTTGGTATCCAGTTATTCCAGCACCTTTTGTTGAAGATGCTTTCTTTCTTCCATTGTATACTTTTAGCTCCTTTATCGAAAATCAGGTGTTCATAGGATTGAGGGTTAAAATCCGAGTCTTGTATTTGATTCCATTGGTCGACTTCTCTATTATTTTGCCAATACCAAGCTGTTTTCATTACTGTAGATCTGTAATAGAGTTTGAAGTCAGGGATGGTAATGCCTGCAGACGATGCTTTATTGTATAAGATTGCATTGGCTATCCTGAGTTTTTTGTCATTCCATATAAGGTTGATTATTGACCTCTCAGAGTCTGTTGAGAATTTTGATGGGACCTTCATGGAGATTGCAATGAATCTATAAATTGCCTTTGGTAGAATTGCCATTTTTACTATGTTGATCCTCACAATCCAAGATCAAGGGAGATCCTTCCATTTTCTGGTATGTTCTTCAATTTCTTTCTTCAAAGACTTAAAGTTCTGGTCAAATAGATCCTTCACTTCCTTGGTCAGAGTTACCCCAAGATATTTTATGCTATTTGTGGCCAAAGTGAAAGGTGATGCCTCTCTGATTTCCCTCTCTGCTTCCTTTTCCTTCGTGTATAGGAGGGCAACTGATTTATTGGAGTTGATCTTCTATCCTGCCACATTACTAAAGGTGTTTATCAGCTGCAGGAGTTCTTTGGTGGAGTTTTTGGGGTTGGTTATGTACACTATCATATCATCTGCAAATAAGGAAAGTTTAACTTTTTACTTTCCAATTCGAATCCCCTTAATCCCCTTATGTTGTCTTATTGCTATTGCTAGAATTTCAAGCACTATTTTGAAGAGGTATGGAGAGAGTGGACAGCCTTGTCATGTTCCTGATTTTAGTGGGATGGCTTTGAGTTTTTCTCCGCTTAATTTAATGTTGGCTGTCGGCTTGCTGTAAATAGCTTTTATTATATTTAGGTATGACCATTGTATCCCTAATCTCTCCAAGACCTTTATCATAAAGTGGTGTTGAATTTTGTCAAATGCTTTTTCAGCATATAATGAAATGATCATATGTTTTTTTTCTTTCAGTTTATTTATATGATGGATTACATTGATAGATTTGTATATGTTGAACCAGCCCTGCATCTCAGGGATGAAGCCTACTTGATGATAATGGATAATTTTTCTAATGTTTTCTTGGATTCGGTTTGCCAGTATTTTATTGAGAATTTTTGCGTCCATGTTCATGAGTGAGATTGGTCTGTCGTTCTCTTTCTTGGTTATGTCTTTGTGAGGTTTTGGTATCAGGGTGACTGTAGCTTCATAAAAGGAATTTGGCAATGCCTCTTCTGTTTCTATATTGTGAAATATGTTAAGGAGTATAGGTATTAGCTCCTCTTGGAAGTTCTGGGAAAATTCTGCATTGAAACCATCTAATCCTGGGCTTTTTTGGAAGGGAGTTTTTTCATAAGAGCTTCTAATTCTTCGCAACTAATGGGTCTATTTAGATTGTTCACCTGGTCTTGGTTTAACTTTGGTATATGGTACTTATCTAAAAAAAATGTCCATTTTTTTGCATTTTCCAGTTTTGTGGCATACAGGCTTTTGTAGTAATATCTAATGATTCTCTGAATTTCCTGTGTCTGTGTTTATGTCCCCGTTTTCATTTCTGATCTTATTTATTTGCGTGTTCTCTCTCTGCCGTTTAATTACTTTGGATAGTGGTTTGTCGATCTTGTTGATTTTCTCCAAGAACCAACTTTTTACTTCATTGATTCTTTGGATTGTTTTCTGTGTTTCTATTTTGTTTATTTCAGCCCTGAGTTTGATTATTTCCAGTGTTATAATCTTCCTAGGTTAGTCTGCTTCTTTTTTTTCTAGAGCTTTCAGGTGTGTTGTTAAGTCCCCAATGTATGCTTTCTCCGTTTTCTTCAAGTGTGCACTTAGTGCTATGAACTTTCCTCTTGGCACTGCTCTCATTGTGTCCCATAGGTTTGAGTATGTTGAGTCTTTATTTTCATTGAATTCAAGAAAGACTTTAATTTCTTTCTTTATTTCTTCCTTGATGCAGGTGTGGTTCAGTAGTTGATTGTTCAGTTTCCATGAGTTTGTAGACTTTCTGGGGTTAGCATTGTTGTATTCTAACTTTAATCCATGGTTAACCGATAAGACACAGGTGGTTACTATTTTTTTTTTTGTAACTGTGGAAGTTTGCTTTGTTAACGAGTATGTGGTCAATTTTCAAGAAGGTTCCATGACCTGCAGAGAAGAAGGTATATTCTTTCCTATTTGGGTGGCATGTGTGTCAAGCAGAGTCTATAATTCAAATGCTATTCTTGGCAAGAGGAGCTTCAGAGCAGCTAATTAGGGATTTCAAAGCTTTGCTTGCAAGTAGCATTTTCTAAAAATGAAGGAAAAGGAACTGTTGTATGCAAAGATGCTCTTCTTTTGTTCACATATTTTATATTACAGAAAGATACTGACCAAGAATATACAGGTAGGGTTGGTTTCCTATTAAAATAAATCAGCTGTCTGGGGTAACCTGAACAATAGGATTGTCTCCTATCTTGGAATGCTAAGGACAACTATTTAGTCATAAACCATTGCCATATCAGAACAATGACAAAGATAATAGCTTTATGACAATTTAATCCAACTTCCTTCAATAAATGATGTTGTGGCCAAAATTAGGTTCCTCGAGCTTTCTTTGGTTATGTGAAGGTTAAGCCAGAACATAGGACCTCACACTCATTCAAACAATGTATATGTGAGTGTGTGTGTGTGTGTGTGTGTGTGTGTGTGTGCGTGTGTATGAATGTAAAATATGTCAACAGAGTTTTGTTGTAATTCTTCTTTGAAGGACTTATGGTAAAACGGATGTTAGGATCCTACCCACTGATGTTGATCACAGCAGAATCAGGTTTCACTTCCACCAACAAGGGCCAAGTGCAGCCATTTCTCGTGCTGATTTTGATCACAGTTGAATCATTTTTCACTCCCACCAACCAGGACCAAGTACAGCCCTTTCCCTGCATCATAGACAAAATCTCTAAGGAGATTCAAGTTTATTTCTGTGATGGCTAAAGACATTGAACACTTTGAAGTGTGTCTCAGATATTTATGCTTCACTCTCTGAGAACATGAATTTTAGTTTTATAATACATGTTTTGATATGGAGTCATATGTTTTCTTGGTATTAATTTTGCTGAGGAGATAGAAAGATGAGGATTCCTGCAGTGTAAACTTGTAAAACTGACACATTTGGAAGGCTTCAGGCTGTTATAAGAACATATCTGCAGGAACAATGCATTCTACAATTTGATGAAGGAAGATTATTCCTGGTCACCATGAGAGTACTACTAAATAAGATCAGTATTTAAATCATCTCTAGTAGTCGTGATTAAGAAATTACCATTCAGAATATACATAGAAATTACAATAGTTGGTGAAAAGAACAATGATAGAGGAATATGTTTATGGAATCAAGGATGATTTACATTCTACAGCTCAAGGTGTAAGTTTAACTAATCACCTCTGAGTTACCTCTCAGATTGTGCAAGCTTTACCCAAGTTAGCATAATGTGAATGGTGAGCTTTAGAACTTCTATGCCATTTGAAGTCTTGGCAGCTTAGAAAGCCACTTCTGATAGGACAAGATGTAGCCATATTCCCTTTACTTCCAATATGAGACTTATAGGTAATAAGTAATTGAAGCATAAAAGGACAGCACTGGGTACAAATGCATATTAGAAACTCTAAATGGACACAATTGCGTATAAATTTCTGTGTCAACCTCTTCTTTCTTAATACACACACATATTCACACATATATTGAAATGAATTTGTATATTCATGAAGAAGTTGGAGAAATTGCAAGAAGAGGACACAGGAATAGCACTAATTAGTAGGAGAACGAAGGTGGTGTGATGTAAATGTACACTGAATATACCAAATTTACAGAAGACGTTGGTCAATTATTTTTTTCTAAAGTAACATTGTTTTGCCAGTCACACAGTGAAAGTTTAAATAACAGGATTTTTCACAGAGAAATTATCATTGTTTCTTATTCATATCTCTTGTTTATGAATATTGAATGCACTTTGCTTTCTTTATATCTTAAGACTTCATTAAACTGTATGTAACAACATTTTCTAATATATTTTGTTTTTCCTTGTTCCAAGCCCTAAAAGAAGATTGCCTCTGCCTTTTGTAATTTGATAACTAACTACATCCTAAGTAATTGTTGCAATACAAAGAGAAAATTGTAACCAGCACATGCACATATGTAGGGCATGGTATCTATGGAATATCATTCTTAAGAAATTATTCTTCAAATGTAACTGAGTCATATGTACACTATTAAAGCATATCCTGATTCATTTGCTTACTGAAGTCATTTAGCAAAAAATAATCTCCTCAGATAGACTTTTGAAAACATATTTAATCCTCTCTTTTAAATAATGTGTAACATGGAGGCAGACCCAAAGAGATTTTTCTGTGAAATCTTATAGAGTGTTAGGACTGTTCAACCGCAAATCATAATTTTAAGCTGAAAGTAAGCATGAAGCACAATATAAAATTTATTTCTTCAGTGTTCTTAATCATGGATCTCCAGTAATTATCACATTTCATTTTTATCTATTTATTTACTAAAGATTTCTGCCTCCTCCCCGCCACTGCCTCCCATTCCCTCACCTCCCCCAATCAAGTCCCCCTCCCTCATCAGCTCCAAGAGCAGTCAGGGTTCCCTGCCCTGTAGGAAGCCCAAGGACCTCCCACCTCCTTCCAGGTCTAGTAAGGTGAGCATCCAAACAGCTTAGGCTCCCACAAAGCCAGTACGTGCAGTAGGATCAAAACCCAGTGCCATTTTTCTTGACTTCTCAGCAGTCCTGATTTAGTAATACTGATATCATTTGTTACACCAGAGTGGTTATTTTATTAGTTTAGTGAATATTTATGTGCTTTTTGAATGAGATCCTTTTCACAACATCTTTATTGCTTCTTGAAACACTTTATTTAATCATTAAGAAATATGAAGACCTTATAAATCATAAGAAGGGAAAGGAAATACAAGTCAGGAATTTGGTATAGGCTGCTCTGACTTCACAGGAGAAAAGACAATTCTTTTAAAAGAAATGGTGATTTATATATGACATTGATTCCATGGTCAAGAGGATACGATGTATCATTCTATTCCTCCTGTCATCTGTGCAGATAGACATGAAAGCAAAAATTAAAACATGATTGAACAGACAGTAAAGATTTCATCATTGAGAGTTCATGGATGCAAAAATATATATAACAATATAATGAGTATACATAAATGATGGTACACAAACAGGTCCTATCCTAGAAATCACCAATACCTTGTACTGTGGAAACTATAGAAGCACTGTCAACAGAAAATAATGATATTCTGTGCCCTTACATGAAAATTTATATTGAGTGGTTTCAAGGAATATGCTGAAAATATCAACATCATTTTACCATATCTGTGACAAATAATACCCCACAATCATAAGTAATATAAGATTTTTACAAATAGCAAGGCAGACTCTCTTGATGAAGTATTCTTCTATGTAAGCATATTAGCAATTGTGAATTAGATAAAATTCTTCATCTTTTTATAAATAAAGATATTTTATCCTTCATTTCTATCTCTGTAATATTTTCTCTTTTAAAAGACATATGGCCGGGCGGTGGTGGCGCACGCCTGTAATCCCAGCACTAGGGAGGCAGAGGCAGGCGGATCTCTGTGAGTTCGAGACCAGCCTGGTCTACAAGAGCTAGTTCCAGGACAGGCTCCAAAAACCACAGAGAAACCTTGTATCGAAAAAAAAAAAGACATATGATACCCAGTCTTGATTTTCCTAATTTTCAGTTTACATTTTCCTTGGTGACATAATTATCTCTAATTTTTTGTAATAAGCACAAATCATGGTCTCTGTTTCTTCTCACCTCCAGAAAGTCATTATTGAGGACAAATATCTGCAAAAGAATATGAATGGGGTAAGGATTGACAGAAACGTTTTCATAGTAATATAATAACAGATCCCCAAGGATTATTTCTGGAAATAGCAACTGAAAGATTGCATACGAATCCATATAATCTGAATCAGGGATCTTACTGAGTAGATATATAGGCAGATAGATAGATAGATAGATAGATAGATAGATAGATAGATAGAGTTAGATTCGTTTTATATATATATATATATATATACATTATGTATGTGTATATATTCATACATGGATATATGAGAGAGAGAGAGAGAGAGAGAGAGAGATAGATAGATAGATAGATAGATAGATAGAGAGAGAGAGAGAGAAAAAAAAATTCTGTGGCCAAAACAATATTCATTGGGGTTACCTGTAGCCAGAATTTCTCTAATGTTTTCTTTTGGAATGTTTTGTTCCTTAGCAAATTCTTCAAGTTTTTCATATTGTTCAGGAGTCAAAGGTTTACCTTTTCCTACAGTTTATTAATCACAGTGTCAAAGACATGTTCAAGAAATATGGAGAAATTATATTGCTTCTTTAGTATCCCTGCATCACATGCAATAGAAAGTCCCAACTGCTTCAAAAGATCTATCCTAGGTAGACCAATACAAACAGTAATAATTTTCCCCAAATTCCATTTTCAGTGTTTCATGATGTATGCAAAAATAAAGCAGCTTCTTTAGGGAATTCTCACATCTCAAGCCTATGTATTTTCAAAAATATAACACTAAAGAATCATGGATGCTTATCAATGGCAGCTTCACATTTCTCCTGAGTCTATACTCTAGAGTTCATGATTTCTTTAGTACACACCTGATCAAATGACACTCAAAATGTTTTAAATTTCAGACAAATAGTATTTAGTCTTTTCTTTCTAGTAAGGAAACATGAACATAAACACTTCCAGTAACATTCACCATCACCAATACTCTTCAATGACCATGCAACTCAAATTACAAAATAAGGTAAAAGTTGGTCCACACAACAAGCATATTGTCATTTAGTGGAGAGGAGTTTGGAAACACCACAATACTGTTTGGAGTGTGAATCTGACTTAATCTCGATTTTCAGTGTGCTACTTCTCTTACTACATCAGAAAACCCACTACCATTCTTACCAACAAGAAAAATCAGGTTAGTTGTCTGGCCAGCTCTATCCACATTCTTGCTAGTAAAGACTATGTTCTCTGGTGTCACATGCACAGGTTCATATCTGTTGTCACCTTCAACTGTAATAACAGAAATATTTCAAACCCAGTGCCACTCATTTTTCTACTTTGTTTGGCATCACCTGTTGACTAAACATCAATATTGATCCTGACTGTAGCAATCATCTCTGATTCACTATCATATAGCACATGTTGGCAAAGGTATTCTTGTAGTCATTCATTTTGCATATCCAATCATAATATGAGAACCAATCATTTCCACTCTTTAAAACTGATAGTGAATCCAAGGTTCATACACATTTCCTTTTCTCTGAATTCCTTGTGTCAAGACCTGTGGGATCACTCTGTTGGGTAATCCTTCCCCTTTCAACAGGATCTAAAAAGACACTTGTCAGTTTTCTGAACTGAAAACTTTCGTGTCATACCATATTAATACTTGGTGGGAGAATTGATACATATGCTAAAAAGAACATACTAATTAGACATCTGCACAAAAGTTTTATTCTTGTTAGATTATAGATAGAAAAGATTTAAGAATCAACATTTCATTTTAAGTTTACCAGACATTCATAGTGTGTATGTTCTCTCTCTGTGTGAGAGTTTTTCTGTTTGCATTCTCTCTCTGTCTCTCATCATCATCATCATCATCATCATCATCATCATCATCATCATCATCTCTCTCTCTCTCTCTCTCTCTCTCTCTCTCTCTCTCTCTCTCTCTCTGTGTGTGTGTGTGTGTGTGTGTAGATTTTTCTCTTAAAGACATTAAGTTATAAAAGTGGTTCATGGAAAAATAAAATGAATTTATTATCTAGTAAATTTCTATTACTTGACTACTTTATAATGGTAATGTAAACTTAAGAAAACAATAAAGTTGGCAGAAGAATGTGCCCTCCCTTCATTCAAGATCTAAACA